CGCTAGACGCCAAACCTTGGGAGGGTGGGGGGGGGGGGGGTGGGGGGGGGGGGGGGGGGGGGGGGGGTTCAGCCAATTTTAAAATGCCTAAGGGAGGTGTTCGAGGTCAAAAGTGCCGAGAAAAACCAAGGTAATTTGGTACATATGTTTCCTCAGTCAAAAGACATGGAAAAAATGTAATTATGGCTAATCCCTCCGACAAACAGAAGCCATAAAATTTCACTGCAAAATGGAAAAAATGATTATCAAATCATCTCTCATCACTCGGGGTTAGTAAAGCGACTCCCCATCGCAAGCCGATTTTACTGAATTGGCCACAAAATTGTTACAAATCATAGTCAACACATTTTACCTTGCAAAATGACGTCAGGGAATTTTGATCAGGGAAACGTTTGTTTAGCAGCGAGCGGCAAAATGTGAGGGTTTTTTTTTGGTGCCGATTTTGACAACATAACATTTTTTCCTTCCGCCGTTTGGCACAAACAAAGACGGATTTGCAATAAACTTGAATCCAGTGTTCTACTCCAGGGTTTTAGGTCAGTGAAAGGAAATATTTTAAAATTGGCCCATAATCGCCCCCTAAAGACAGAGTCAAAGTTTACATGGGAGCCAAACCCCGCTCTACTTCTCATATTCATTACAATTTGACTAACATTCATCTATGGCTACGGAACAAATCATCCACAACAAAAAAACGGCGCCACCACCCATCCTTTGAGCGGTGCTGGCGTGTACGTGTGTACGCGTAGTGCGGGGCGTTGTGGAGCGCCGCATTGGCGGCTTGGTGCGGGGCGAGCGTGAGGCCGGGACAGCAAATGGTGCAGGGCGGCGTGGTGCGGGGTGGCTTGGTGCGGGCGGCCGTGGAACGGGGTGGTGCGCGCGGTGCGGGGAGTCGCGCGGTGCGGGTGAGTTTGCGCGGTGCGGCCGAGGGCCCGTCTCGACGCCTGCTTGGCGGCTTTAATTATACTTGTTCTAGCCCAGGAAAAACCTGGGAAAGAACAAGATTTGCTGTTTTTTGATGTCATATTTGACCCACTGAACATCAACACGAAACTTACAAAATTTGCCACAAGTTTACTGTTCTTAGCAAACACTTTTATTAATTTGTGTTCCCAGTAAGAGACTTCATATTTCAAAGTTGTAGGGCGCAATTGTAGTCTAATAAATCCACCATTTGCACATACAAATCCGATTGCACAAATTTTAATTAGGTTGTTCAACTTTTGGGTTTGGGTAAACTGAAAGTGTATAACATCATATTGAGGCCTTTAGCGCCCCCTACAGAATGCATTTCAACACATGTTGGTTGGAAAGCGACTCCTCCCTCGGCCATTTTCACTGATTTGCCTTAAAATCGCTCCACATCGCTAAACACAGTCAACCATCATTTTGATTTCAGCGATTTTTGATCAGTGAAACGTTGTTTGAGTAGCGAAAACCGCCAAAAAGTGGCGTTTTTTTTTTAGTTGTTGAAGTATAGAAAAATTTCTTCGTTTACGTCAAGCCACAAAGTCCGATTGCCACAAAACTTGTTTTCATGGTTAAACTCTAGGGTGTATGTCCATTTGAAAGTGAAATAATAAGCATGCCAGAACAGCGCCCCCTACAACACCAATTTAATACACCTATGGAGAGTTGTTGGAGTTCAGTTTGCGTAAGCCATGAAATTTGGTACACATATTCCTCAAGGTAAGACACATGAAAAAAATGTTATTATGGCCACCCGCCTCTGACAGACAGGGAGCCCATAAATTTCACTGTAAAAATGGATAAACGACACAGCAATAATTTTCACACATGTCGTATTGGGAAGCGACTCCTCGCTCGGCGTCTCGTTTCACAGATTCGCCTGAAAATTGTCTCCACGATCATTTCAACACATTTACCTTCAAAATGACTTCAGGGAATTTTTATCAGGGAAACGATGTTCAGAGCAGGTGGAGTGCGGCAAATAAGTGACCTTTTTTGTGCATATACAAAATAAGCTCTCGTTTGCACAGAACAAAGTTTGATTTGTACTAAACTTGACCCCGGTTTGTTCGTACTCCCAGGGCCTGGGTCACCTGAAATGTTTAGCAAATCTCATTGTTGCAAAGATGTTGTGGCTCTACTCCCCCGTAAGTGGCAAAGGAGATGGCAAAAGCTAGGCTAAATGCTAAAGCTAGGCTAAATGCTAAAGCTAGGCTAAATGCTAAATGCCGCACTCACTCGGGCGCATCACAGCAAACTCAGATCCAATCGTTTCAATCGTCTTATGAAGGAAGATGTTGGTCGACAATAAAGATATTCTATTCTATATGAAGATCATTTGTGTTTTTTTGTCTGATAAAATGCACATATTTCTTAATGTAGAACAATTTTGACAAAACAAAATATAGAAAGCTACACACAAAGAAACAGATTTATACTGACGACCGTACATAATACCTGATACTGGACCCATGAGGCTGGGGGGCACCGACATGGGATCTATACATATTTGTATTGTTTTTGTTCACATGAAATGTTCTGGGATATGGAACTGTGATACAATTTGAAGGACACGGCTCTGCTCATAAGTATCCATACCTTGGCGCACACACGTACACATGCACGCACATACACAGCTTCCTGGTGGTGGTCAAGCCCCGGTGATCCAAGATGGCGCCCTATTCAAACGAATGGCTTGTGCTCAGTAGTGCATGGGACTTCACGGAGACCGGGAGATTAGCAGAACTTGGCTATATTTGGGCAGTGGACGAGCTCCCATGATGCGTTGCACTATCTCCCATGATGCGTTGCACCAAATATGCATGTGTGACTCTAATGCACGTGCACAGAGGGGCTCGCCGTGCTCTGAGCAATCAGAGCTGCTGATCAGAGCAACGGTAGAGCGGAGTCAGAGCGGGAAGGAAAGGAGCAGAGTTTGTTGCAGTAAAGTGTGGATTTTTAAAAAAACGAAGGATTTAAGAAGAAAAAAAGTTCAGGATGACAAGGGACACTAAAATCCCCACAAAATCCGATATTTCTGAAAGCTGTAGGTTCTCTGTCAGCTGAAGTCGAGCTGTTTTGGGACTTTTTTCTGGGTAGCCCGCGTGAATTTAGTCTGCAGTACCCGTGGGTGGGACAGCCATAAGATAGTAATACCCTATCCAGTTATCATTATAGATCCACGGTTGAAGTTGATTGAAGCCATTTTTATCAAACAACTCTGTACCTTTTGCCAACATATTCCAAATGACCCAGGTTAATACTGCATGCTGTTATCTTGTTTTGTTAAGCACTTTGAGTTGACTTTTGTATGAACTGTACTATACAAATAAACTTGCCTTGCCTTTCCTTACCTATGCTTAAAGAGACCCAGCTTGACAATATACAGTATGTAACTTTACCAAACCACTAAAAAGCAACATTTCCCATCATTCATATCCATGGGCCAACAAATAATACAATACAATAGGATGTGTAATCTGTATATCTGTATGTCGCCCTGCCTACTTATGCTGTACATATATTGGATGTTTTGCTGAACTAAATGAGGCGCCTAGAACATTGCAGATTGTGTGAAGCTATTTAAAATCAAAGCAGGGTATAGAAATAACGCAGACATGAGCTCAGCCTTTGTCGGCGAATCAAAGGTACGCCAATATGCTTCAAGATCTACAATTATGAATCATGTATATCTGAAATCAAATGCTTTAAACTCTTTTCCCAGCCGATCACAAGCATCAATTTTCAGTCAACCCTGAAACCAGCGTCTGATAAAGTCTAATAAAAGCCGGTGTAATGCAGAGCCATAAATCAAAAGGGAAAACACAGGGCTTCTCCAAAACAGCAACGATTAGGGACCGTGAAAAGTCTATGGAAAAAAATAAAAAAAACAGTGATACTTATCTTAATGTGTGATGAAGTGGCTTCATAAAAGTTGGACAAACATTATCCATCAGAACAAAGACAGTCAAAGAAAGAAAGAAAGCAGCATTGAGTGACATTGGGAGGGGAACAGCCACATTAGGTCTATTATTAGCCTTTTGTGCAGTCCTCTCACAGGCTACATTCACATTTTTTATTCATTTAAGGACATCTAAAACATCCATCTCACTTATAGGAAAGCAGTCTATAGGCTTATAATACATATGCATTTTTGATTAGCCTATATCATACTTAGTGGTCCTGTGTTGACCCACTATACAATTAATAGAAAAAAAAATCTATATTTCAAAACTTCAAAATAAAAGTTGAGTATTTGCTTATGTATATGTCACAGTGTCCAATAATGTGGTAGTATTAGTTCTGGGTAATGAAAGATTGCGGCTGCTTAATAAACTACTTAAGTAAACGATAATGAGAAGAACCGGTGCTGGTATTTTTACGCAATAAAATACCTTTTTTTTCTGGTATCTGTACTTTGGTAGTTATTTTTTGAGATAACTTACTTCTAAACCTAAATATAATGTACTTTCTACCATAAAATAATTCTGAGAAAGTTTGACCAATCTAAAAATTCATAGTGGTTAGCCATATGCTTCTAAGTTCCTTCAGTCCTTTGGGTTAGCTGAGCTGTTAGGTTAATTCATTAATAGTGGTTAACCGTGTTTCAAAGTTAATTCATTCATTTTGGTTACCTGTACGTTTAAGTTAATTAATTAATTATTGTTAGCCACTCCTCTAATTCACCTTAATTCATTCATTCAGGTGTTTCAATTTGTTGTGGTTAGCCGGTTAGCCATGCTTCTAATTTATTGTGGTTGGCCATTTCATTGTAACTGTTTATGTACTGCATGACTCTTAATCTTTATTCTATTATTTAATTGAAAGATGTATTTTGCTTTAACAAACACTTTTAACTTTTTTTTTTACTTTTTACTTTACTATTTTAACATTTTTCTCAGAGATTAAATATACTCAAATATCTATACTTATATTTGACAACTTACAACCAACCAACCAACTTTGAAAGAGTCTTTAGCACTCACATACACCTGTGCGTAACCGTGCGTAAAAGTGCCACGTGCGCATCCTCACCTGTACCACTCCAGCCCCTTGTCGTAGTTACGGTCAAAGAAGTGTGGCTCGGACCCCACGGCTCTGACGTCCGGGTGAACGCGTAGAAACTCCAGCAGAGCCCGGGTCCCTCCTTTCTTCACCCCGACGATGAGCGCATGGGGCAGCTTCTTACTCCCCTCCCCAAGCGCGCGGAGTTGTAACCTTGGCGACACTTCTCTGGCTGACGTTCCTCCATCTCCGAATCTCCCCATCTCAGAATGACCGGTGCCTCCGATATCTTTCGTCCTGTTATTTGATGAAAGCCTTGGGTAAGAACTGGACGCGGTTGGAGTGATGCTGACGCGCTCCGTGAGACAGTGCAGCAGGAGGAGAGAGCTGAGGAGCCAGACCAGGACGACCCAAGCGCGCCGAGACAAGCCGTGCGTGTGGAGGTCCAGCGTGGGCGAGCGGCTAAACGCCATCCAGCCCGGGTCATCCAAGCCATGCTATACAAACATCATTATACAAAGTGGTACGAAGGGAAAAAAAGACGAAATGTATGCAAAATAATGTTACAACTGCATAAAACTTCAATAATCGATATCCAGGGATGGGAAATCTAGTCCAGGTGACATATGACGCAAATACGTGATTGAGTTGTTCGCCTTGGTGAAGCTGTCATGTCCCGTTCGTGTTGTTACAGCGCTGCTCCATCACTACACGTGTCTGGGGTTGTAAACTTGTCAGACTCGGCAGGTCGGATGACGGACAGCGCCGTGGACCAATCACAGCGGGGTATGCGGATGTTGTGAAGGCGCAGCCAATGGGAGGAGCAGGTGGGCGGGAGGAGCAGTGACAGTCAAAAAATAAATAAAAAAACACAGGAAAAACTAATGTTGTATGATGGCAGAGAGGTTTTCAAAGAATTCGGGGCGGACCCTGGACACGCTGGAGAGGGTATAGGGAAGTCTGGGGGTCTCTACTTAGAATGGTGACCTGCGGGCAACGGATACAGTTGAAAGAAAATAATGGATGGATTCTAAAGTTTTTTTAAGTACAAGACTGGTCTAAAAGTGAACTACATCTGATCAGTATTGACATTAAAATAGTATATATTATGTTAAATTATGGACATTTATAAATATTTATGGACATTGGTCTTCCCTCTCTCCTATATGTTATTATTTCATTTCCTCTGTTTGACTCTCTGATCGTTTGTTGAATCGACAGCTGTTATTCTAATCTCTTTTTTTGTTCAGCACTTAACGCATATGAATTGTGCTATACACATAAACTTGCTTTGCCTTGTTAAGTCCCGTCTATACAATTTACATTGAATTGAATGTAAGGGCAAAGAAGACCAAGATATTTTTCCGCAATGGGATTAAGATTTCCTTTTTATAACATTATGAGTTTTTACCCCACAACTAAGAGACAATATGTCGTATGGTAAAAGTCCTGATTTGTTTTCACCCACATGGATAAAAGTGAGGTAACCTCAATTTTAACGTGATACAAAACTAGTCTACCGTGGCCAGGTTTTCAAGTGCACTTTTGACATCCATCCTGAAGTCGAAGCTTAATCATATTGTACGAGGCTCTCAGATCCCTTATGCTATTTGTCGATGTAGTCTGTCATTCGTTCATGGGTCCAACAAAAAGTCAAAAGCTTTGCCCAGAGGAAAACTGCCTCCATTAAAACAAATGTTCAGTGTAGTTTGTCCTTTCGTCACATATTGCTCACACTTTAGGCATGTTGTCAATAGATGGTGATTTTGGACTTTGCTCTGGCTCTTTACTAGATACGTTTATTACTTTATTATGTTTTTCTGCCTTCTGTCCAATACCATAAACCAAAATGACAACTCATCATCCATCCTGAAGCTTTCTTTAATCTCTCTTCAGTCTCAGGCATACCCAGTACCCAGACCACCAAAGAAGCTGTCCCCTTGTCCTGAACACATTTTTTATGACACTGACCAACAAGAGAAAAGTAAAATTATAACCCCAGCCTTTATTATTTCTTTACAAGTGAACAAGCCAGGCCCACATGTCCCACATCTGCTGCTGCCGGCGTGGGATTAGCATGAGAATATGAAGCAGTGGTTCAATGGTGCACAGTCCACTGCTCGAGAAAGAGTCTGTTCCCGGATACACGGCGGTATCAGCGGTGCCAGATGTCCTCCATGTTGTCGGGACAATGTGAGGAGTGTCGCGCATTTATCCAATCACACCCCTCGACTTTGTCTCCATAGCAGAGAGGAGAGAGGACCCTCCCACAGAACTATACACAGAGGACCTCTCCGGAACATACCACCACAGGCTCGGATGACTTCGCTCCGGCTGGGGGCCACAGAGGACGCGGTCGGATTGCGAAGGGTTAAAAAAAGTTCAGAAACGTGTCATCCCATGTCTTCACAACAACGATCCGATGCAGCTCGGATCGTAGACGCTGCTCCCTCTTCATCATAACAGTCCGATACAGAGACCGCATCACTGCAAAAAAAGTCAGAATTCTTGATCGTCTGTCAATCCCATATTTAAGTATGATTTTTGTAATAGGGAATTGAATTGGTAAAACTTCAAAATTCAAACTACACCTGCAAATACGCAGAAATATGTAGGAAATGTAATATATTTTGCGTTTTTTCTTTTATTTTAAATAATGATCAATACCAATGATGATTCAAATGCATGACCCACTGCATCTCTATATATACTATGTCTCACACTGCAAAAAAAATTTATAAAATGCTTGAACGTTTTTTTTTTTATCTTAATTTGAGTACATTCTGACTGCATTAAAACAAAGCCATTGAGTCTTACTTCAAGAACTGTTGCTTTATTTTCTCATTTCAAAGGAGATGTTTCTTGTTAATAGATATTTAGGCTTGTCTTATTGGCAAATCTTGTTTTAAGGCAGTCACAGTGTGCTCAAATTAAGATACATTTTGAAAAATTTGGGACATTTTTTACTTATTTTTCATAGCACATTTAAAAAAGAATCACAATCATATTTTTTGGGCCACATGATGTTTCTCTTGCTGTGTACTGGTTACGATAATGGACAGTTATCTGAAACATAAATCAAGTGAAACAAAGTGAAATATTTTCTGCTGTGGGACTAAACCGGAAAAACAAAAAGGTCATTTCCAATCGGTCCTGAGTGAGCACTGGATTTCAATTAGCTGGTTTCAGGAGACGAAACTCAAGAGCCAAGAATGATGGTTTGTGGAAATGTATGGCTCGCACAGTTCAAACTCGGGACGTCCCATAAATTTTAAACGTACTATTTCCACGTGTAAATCCGCCTTTACAAGCAGCATCTGTTTCGGACACTCCTGCTACGACAAGTTGTATTTTTTTGAAAATATATAATACGTTTGATCGCCGCAATAAATCACTGCAATTATAAAGTTTCTCTACATGAAATAAACGTGTGGAAGAATGCAGGCTTTATCTGCTGTTGGGACCACTATAATGTTGGCAGTAAAGATGTCTTCTTCAAACTGACAGGTCCCAAAGCCCCCCACCATAAACCTGTCCAAGGATTATGTGCAGGACTCGGACCAGAGTCCAGCCAGGAGTTGGCCGATTCACATTGGGAAACTATTTCAACACAAATCCATACTGTTTTCCCTGAATGAGGAAAGAAAAATGCATAGTTGGAGCGTGATAAATGTGACCAATAGACACCAATGACCAATGGTGGTAGTACTGAACATACTGTAGTGTCTGTGTCTGTCTCTGTCTGTGCCTTGTCTGTCTGGGTTTGTCTTTGTCTCTGTCTGTGTCTTGTCTGTTTGGGTTTGTCTCTGTCTGTGTTTTGTCTGTCTGTTTCTGTTTGGGTCTGTCTGTCTGTCTGTCTCTGTCTGTGTCTTGTCTGTCTGTTTCTGTCTCTGTCTGTGTCTTGTCTGTTTGGGTTTGTCTCTGTCTGTGTTTTGTCTGTCTGTCTCTGTCTGTGTCTTGTCTGTCTGTCTCTGTCTTTGTCTGGGTCTGTATGTGTTTGTATCTGGTCTGTGGGATATCTTGGTTGCAGAGGACACTTGTTTGGCTGTAGTTGTGGCATATTTTTCGTTTTGAATTGTCATTGCCATCTGCCTTGAGTGGTCAGACTTTGAAATAATTCAAATAAAGACAATTATGTACATACAAAAAAGAGACTACACTTTATGATGTGCTTTTGGATCTGACTCCCTCAATTGTGAAGAAATTAGATTCAAGCAATTATAGCAAATCCAGGGTAGAGTGAGAAAATAATCCTGCCCTACAAACACACAGTAATGCCTGGACAGCTTCAACATAACTTAAGACCACAAACGTACAGATTTTATTTTGGCCTTTTCGACTTGCACCTGTGACTTGGACGCTCCCTGCTCTCCTCTCCACGCCTGGGAGCCTCTTCTGTCCTGGATCTACAGCGTGTCTGACCGTGGGATTAAAGTTAAAGTTAAGGTTAAGGTACATCCTGCGATACCACAAGGGCCTCTGTCAGCAGCAGTGGTCGTTGTAGCACAGCGACTGGGGACTGAGCTCCAGATGTTGATGCTCGTTCAGGAACAGAACCGGAGGATATTACCTTTTGTATACATGGTTGTAGTTGTTGGGGAAACAGGTGCACCCAGAGGAAACCATATACGCAGACACAGGGAAAACACCCAAAAAGACCCTGGGATTTGAACCTTCTTGAAAACAGTCTGTAATGAATCAATATATCTATCTATCTATCTATCTACTTCTATCTATCTATCTATCTACTTGTATATACATACCGACCTATCTATCTATCTATCTATCTATCCACCTGTATATACATATCTATCTATCTATCTACTTGTATATACATATCTATCTGTATCTACATATCTATCTATCTATCTACATGTATCTATCTATCCATCCACCTACCGACCTATCTATCTATCTATCTATCTACTTGTATATACATATCTAGCTATCTATCGACCTATCTATCTATCTCTATCTATCTATCTATCTATCTACCTGTATCTACATATCTATCTATCTATCTACATGTATTTATCTATCTATCTACTTGTATATACATATCTATCTATCGACCTATCTATCTATCTCCATCCATCCATCGATCCATCCATCCATCCATCCACCCATCGATCCATCCACCCATCGATCTATCTATCTATCTATCTATCTAACTGTGCCACCTTGAATGCCACTACCACTGGGTGCATTTACAAAGCACTATAGAGAAAACCAAATCCACTTAATCCAATTTAATGTGATTATTAAAGACACTTGTACGCGATGGAGAAGTGGCAAAAATAATTCCATTCCAAAGAGCTGGTGCTGGTGAGCAAATGTAGCAAATGTACAGGCGTGGATTGGATTGGAATGAGACAACGGGCAGTGATGCACATGAGCACACAGGGAAAATCCGGGCTTGTGTTAGAAATGTATGCATTTGGACGTATATGTATAAATATAGGGTACTCCTTCATGTAGTTTGGGATCAATACACAGCAGTCCCTCGGTGCCTGTGAAAGAAAGAATAATGCATTTGCAGCTGGAATGTTCTGACTTATTGTGAGAAGTTTCCATTGTGTACACACTCTGCAAACTATTTCTAGTTTTACTCTGATTGAAATAGAACAAAATATGCCCTTGGAACTTCAAAATATCTTATTGAATACACTTGTAAGATTTCAGCTGTGGAATATTTTGGAAAACTTATCTCCCAACCATGCTATTTCTCAACTATCCGCTTCTGTATTTGAACCCCTCGTTTGGATGAAGGTCAGGAGTAATGGTGGTTAATGGGACACATATATTTCACTGACAGCACAGACACACAGCTGCCAACTCTCACACTTTCACCACCAGACACTTTACATGTGACTCTCTTGATATCACACGGCAAGAAAAACATACAGACAACATCCAGTTGTTTTTTTTATCTTTATTGTTTGGCATTTCTTCTTATTTGGACGTTTTTTGCTTGTAATCTGACCTAAGCAACATTCAAAATCCAAACATGTTTGTCAAAATTGAAGCACAAGGAAGGAAGTACTTTTGTATTTGGATGCAGCCCGTCATGCGAGAACTATCTCCTGAGCCAAATCCTCTCTCTCTCTCTCTCTCTCTCGCTCACTCTCTCTCCCATTATATCTCATTCTGTATCTCTCTCTCTTGCTATCTTTCTCATTCTTTATTTCTCTCTTTCTCATTCTTTATCTTTCTCTCGCTTTCACTCTATCTCTCTCTCTCACAATCTCTCATTCTGTATCTGTCTCTTTCACTCTCTCTCTCTTACTATCTTTGTCATTCTTTATATCTCTCACTTCAAGAATGAATGCATTCTTACATTATTATTTTGTTATCATATGTTTTTTGTGCTCATTTTTCATGGTAATGCAACAAAATACCACAGTACAACAGTAGTATATATTCCGTAAAAAAATAAATAATAATTAAAGCCGCAAGCGGCGTCGAACGGCCCTCGCCGCACCGCGCGACTCCCTGCACCGCGCGACTCCCTGCACCGCGCGCACTCCCCGCACCGCGCGCACCACCCCGTGCCACGCCGCCCCGCACCAAGCCACCCCGCACCAAGCCACCCCGTCCTACACCACGCAGTCCCGAATCACACCAAGCCGCAACGCGCCGCTCCACAACGCCCTGCACTACGCTGCACCACACCGTACCACGCAGCACCGCGCAAAGGAGGTGGCACTGCTGTGTGATGATTTGTTCCCGTAGTCATAGAAGAATGCTAGTCAAATTGTAATGAATATTATAAGTAGAGCTGGTATGGCTCCCCATGTAAACTTTGCTTCAGTCTGTAGGGGGCGCTAATGGGCCAATTAAAAAAAATTCACATTCACCTGACCTAAACCCTGGAGTTGAACAATGAATTCAAGTTTAATGCAAATCAGACTTTGTTTGTGCAAACGGGAAAAAAAATAATGTTGTCAAAAACGGCCAAAAAAACCCTCACTTTTTGCCGCTGCGCTGCTCAAACAACGTTTCACTGATCAAAATTCCCTGAAGTCATTTTGATGGTACATGTGTTGAGATGATCTGGAGCGATTTTGAGGCGAATCGGTGAAACGGCCGAGGCTGGTTTGATGTTTGTGTGAGGTGTACATTTGCAATTAATGGGGAGCGTTTGTCGTCGCCACGGCAACAGGGTAAAAAATAAGCCTTGGACCCAATTGACTTTTTGAATCAAAACGGCAAAACAGATGTATGTGCAAAATTTCAAAAATTTTGAAAAAAATAAATTTGAAAATGCCCATTTAAAACTTTGAAATAGTCTGTAGGGGGCGCTAATGTGTCAATTTGAATCATTTAACTTTCAAATGACCTAGACCCTAGAGTTGAACAATGTATTAAAGTTTTGTGCAAATCAGACTTTGTTTGTGCAAACGGGAGCAAATTTAATGTTGTCAAAAACGGCCAAAAAAAGGTCACATTTTGCCGCTCCGCTGCTCAAACAATGTTTCACTGATCAAAAATCCCTGAGGTCATTTTGAAGGTACATGTGTTGAGATGATGTGGAGCGACTTTGAGGTGAATTGGTGAAACGGCCAAGGAGGAGTCGCTTTCCAACCGACATGTATGAAAACTTTTGCTGTTCATTTTTCCATTTTGCAGTGAAATTTATGGGCTTCCTGTTTGTCAGAGGGCGGGGCCATAATTATATTTTTTTCTTGTCTTGACTTGAGGAACATGTGTACCAAATTTCATGACTCTATGACAAACTTGATCTCCAAAACTCCCATAGGGGTATTATTTTGGCTGTTGTAGGTGGCGCTGTTCCGTCATTTTTTGAGTCCCATAAAAATAAACACCAAAATATCAAATTTTTCGCCAGGTCTGATTTTTGGGCCAAAATTAACAACTTTTCATGCATGTTCAGGGGGTCAAATTAAGGCTCAAAGTGCAGAAGAAAAAAGAAAGAAAGAAAGAAAGAAAGAAAGAAAGAAGAAATTAAAGCCGCAAGCGGCGTCGAACGGCCCTCGCCACACCGCGCGACACCCCGCACCACGCGCCTTGCCGCTCCGCTACAACTCCCCGTTCCGCTACGACTCCCCGCTCCGCTACGACTCCCCGCTCCGCTACGACTCCCCGCTCCGCTACGACTACCCGCTCCGCTACGACTCCCCACTCCGCTACGACTCCCTGCACCGCGCTCCGCTACGACTCCCCGCACTGCGCTCCGCTACGACTCCCCGCACTGCGCACCGCTACAACTCCCCGCACCGCTACGACTCCCCGCACCGCTACGACTCCCTGCACCGCGCGCCACTACGACTCCCCGCTCCGCTACGACTCCCTGCACCGCGCGCTTCTACGACTCTCCGTTCCGCTACGACTCCCCGCACCGCTACGACTCTCCGCAGCGCTACGACTCCCCGCAGCACTACGACTCCCCGCACCGCTACGATTCCCCGTACCGCGCAACTCACTGCAACTCGCTGCAACCCGCAATTCCCCTCCCCGTGACTCCCCGCGTGACTCGCCGCTCCGCAGGTGGCGCCGCCGCGCCATGATTTGCTACCATAGCCATAGACCAATGTATGTGATATTGATCCGTTGGTTTGGCTCCCCATGTAAAGCTTTAGCTCGGTATGTAGGGGGCGCTAAAGAGCCAATGTAATATTTTACACCTTCAGGTGACCCAGGCCCAGGAGTAGAACAACCGGGTCAAGTTTAGTACAAATCAAACTTTGTTTGTGCAAACGAGAGCTATTTTGTTATCGTCAAAAAAGGTCACTATTTGCCGCTCCACTGCTCGAACATCGTTTCCCTGATAAAAATTCCCTGAAGTCATTTTGAAGGTAAATGTGTTGAAATGATGTGGAGCAATTTTCAGGCGAATCTGTGAAACGGCCGAGGAGGAGTCGCTTCCCAAACGACATGTGTGAAAATTATTGCTGTTCGTTTATCCATTTTACAGTGAAATTTATGGGCTCCCTGTCTGTCAGAGGGCGGGGCCATAATAACATTTTTTTCATGTCTTACCTTGAGGAATATGTGTACCAAATTTCATGGCTCTACGGCAAACTTGAACTCCAAAACTCTCATAGGAGTATTAAATTGGCTGTTGTAGGGGGCGCTGTTCTGGCATTTTAATTATTTCACTTTCAAATGACCTAAACCCTAGAGTTTAACCATGAAAACAATTTTTGTGCAAATCGGACTTTGTTTGAGTAAACGGAAGTAATTTTTCTATAGTCAAAAACTAAAAAAAAAAACGCCACTTTTTGGCGCTTCGCTGCTCAAACAACGTTTCACTGATCAAAAATCGCTGAAATCAAAATGATGGTACATGTGTTTAGACGATGTGGAGCGATTTTAAGGCAAATCAGTGAAAAGGCCGAGGAGGAGTCGCTTTCCAACCAACATGTGTGAAAATGACATTCTGTAGGGGGCGCTAATGCCTCAATTTGATGTTTTACACTTTCAGTTTACCCAAACCCAAATGTTGAACAACCAATTCAAATTTGGTGCAAATCGGACTTTGTATGTGCAAATGGTGGCTTTATTAGACTACAATTGCGCCCCCTACAACTTCAAATTTGAAGTCTCTTACTAGGGAACACAAAATTAATAAAGTGTTTGCAAGAACAGAACTTGTGGCAAAATTTTGTAAGTTTTCGTGCATGTTCAGTGGGTCAAATATGACATCAAACAACAGCAAACTTGTTCTTTCCCAGGTTTTCCTGGGCTAGAACAAGTATAATTAAAGCCGCAAGCGGCGTCGAACGGCCCTCGCCGGACCGCGCGACCCCCCGCACCGCGCGACCCCCCGCACCGCGCGACCCCCCGCACCGCGCGCACCACCCCGCACCGCGCCGCCCCGCACCAAGCCGCAACGCACCGCTCCACAACGCCCCGCACTACGCCGCCCCGCACCGCTCCACAACGCCCCGCACTACGCCGCACCACACCGTACCACGCAGCACCGCGCATAGGAGGTGGCGCCGCCGTGTGATGATTGGTTCCCGTAGCCATAGAAGAACTTAGTCAAATTGTAATGAATATGATAAGTAGAGCTGGTTTGGCTCCCCATGTAAACTTTGAATCAGTCTGTAGGGGGCGCTAATGGGCCAATTTCAAATATTTCACTTTCACCTGACCTAAACCCTGGAGTTGAACAATGGATTCAAGTTTAATGCAAATCAGTCTTTGTTTGTGCAAACGGGAAAAAAATTTATGTTGTCAAAAACGGCCAAAAAAACCTCACATTTTGCCGCTCCGCTTCTCAAACAACGTTTGACTGATTAAAATTCCCTGAAGTAATTTTAAAGGTAAATGTGTTGAGATGATTTGGAACAATTTTGAGGCCAATCGGTGAAACGGCCGAGGAGGAGTCGCTTTCCAACCGACGTGTATGAAAATGATTGGTTTTCATTTTTCCATTTTGCAATGAATTTTATGGGCTTCCTGTTTGTCAGAGGGCTTAGCCATAATAACATTTTATCCATGTCTTGACTTGAGGAACATGTGTTCCAAATTACATGGCTCTACAACAATTTTGACCTCGAACCCATCCCATAGGCATTTTTAAATTGGCTGTTGTAGGTGGCGCTATAGAGCCAATTTCAAAATTTAAACTTTCAAATGACCTAGACGCAAGAGTTAAACCATGGATTCAAGTTTTGTGCCAATCACACTTTGTTTGTGCAAACGGAAACAATTTTTCTATTGTAAAAAACTGAAAAAAAATACGCCACTTTTTGGCGCTCTGCTGCTCAAACAACGTTTCACTGATCAAAATTCCCTGAAGTCATTTTGATGGTACATGTGTTGAGATGATGTGGAGCAATTTTGAGGCGAATCGGTGAAACGGCCGAGTTTGGTTTGATGTTTGTGTGAGGTGTACATTTGCAATGAATGGGGAGCGTTTCTCGTCGCCACGGCAACAGGGTAAAAAATAAGCCTTGGACCCAATTGACTTTTTGAATCAAGAGGGCAAAACAGATTTATGTGTAAAATTTCAAACATTTTGAAAAAACTAAATTTGAAAATGCCTATCTAAAACTTTGAAATAGTCTGTAGGGGGCGCTAATGTGTCAATTTGAATTAATTCACCTTCAAACGACCTAGACCCTAGAGTTGAACAATGTAATAAAGTTTTGTGCAAATCAGACTTTGTTTGTGCAAACGGGAGCAAATTTAATGTTGTCAAAAACAGCCAAAAAAAGGTCACATTTTGCCGCTCCGCTGCTCAAACAATATTTCACTGATCAAAAATCCCTGAGGTCATTTTGAAGGTACATGTGTTGAGATGATGTGGAGCGATTTTGAGGCGAATCGGTGAAACGGCCGAGGAGGAGTCGTTTCCAACCGACATGTATGAAAACTTTTGCTGTTCATTTTTCCATTTTGCAGTGAAATTTATGGGCTTCCTGTTTGTCAGAGGGCGGGGCCATAATAATATTTTTTTCTTGTCTTGACTTGAGCAATATGTGTACCAAATTTCATGTTTCTACGACAAACTTGACCTCCGAAAAGTCCCATAGGGGTATTATTTTGGCTGTTGTAGGTGGCGCTGTTCTGTCATTTTTTGAGTCCCATAAAAATAAACACCAAAATATCAAATTTTTCGCCAGGTCTGATTTTTGGGCCAAAATTAACAACTTTTCATGCATGTTCAGGGGGTCAAATTAAGGCTCAAAGTGCAGAAGAAAAAAGAAAGAAAGAAATAAATAAATAAAAAAGGAATTTTTTTTTTAACGTCTCGAGCAAAAACAATATAGGTTTCAATGGCATGTGATACATCATTTTAAAGCGTTTGAGTTTACGCACGCAACTGTCACGTTTTGGTGAGTGACGGGCGCTGACGCGTCCGTCACGCACCGCCACCATTTGTTTTCACCATTGTGAAAGCAATAGGCCCTTACCCCGTTCGGGGCTCGGGCCTAATTAAAGCCGCAAGCGGCGTCGAACGGCCCTCGCCGCACCGCGCGACTCCCTGCACCGCGCGCACTCCCCGCACCACGCCGCCCCGCACCAAGCCGCCCTGCACCATGCCGTCCCGCACCACGCCGCCCCGCACCAAGCCGCAACGCGCCGCTCCACAACGCCCCGCACTACGCCGCACCACACCGTACCACGCAGCACCGCTAAAAGGAGGTGGCACCGCCGTGTGATGATTTGTTTCCGTAGCCATAGAAGAATGTTAGTCAAATTGTAATGAATATGATAAGTAGAGCTGGTTTGGCTCCCCATGTAAACTTTGACACAGTCTGTAGGGGGCGCTAATGGGCCAATTTCCAATATTTCACTTTCACCTGACCTAAACCCTGGAATTGAACAATGGATTAAAGTTTTGTGCAAATCAGACTTTGTTTGTGCAAACAGGAGCAAAATTAATGTTGTCAAAAAGAGCCAAAAAAAAACCTCACATTTTGCCGCTCCGCTGCTCAAACAACGTCCGGCTTCAATTTCTTAATATTTGGAGCTGAACCAGAGCAGATTACTTTACTATCGCTTTCTCCGCCATTGCCAAGCTACAACCAGCAAATTTGGCGCAAACTCTCGACGTCACCGACACCTACCTGCAACACCCGCCTCCTCCGCTTGCTGATTGGTCGGAGCGGATGCATCTGAGGAAACCGTAGCCACTAGGTTCAGATCCAGACGTGTAGGTAGGAAAATTATAATTGGACGGAGTTTACAGATGGCTAAGGCCAGGCTTAACAAGATGTATTACAATTCACAAAAAAGTTTGGTACCCCAGCTTTAATATGCACACTACAATATAAGCAGACAATTGTTTTTTTAGTATTCTTCCCCAATAGCTCATTCTCAGCACATCCCTTCAGCTTGCCTCTGTCCAAGCTCTCAAATCCTCCTCCCTTCAAAACCTCTTTTTATACGTATCCAAACTCAGACTTTAAAGCTCTTTTTGATCCTTGTAAACACGTCGTCCCGTTTGTGGATGTCTTGATGGGACTAAAGAAGCTGGAGTTCAGACCGTGATGGATTCGCTGCGTCAGACTAAGTGCTGGGCCCGTCCCGTGTGGGAATAATGACTCAGGCTCCTCCGGGTAATGGCCCATTGCCGACACCGCTGCTCCCTTATGAAGAAGGATTGGCGCCGTAATGAAAGGTTACCTGAGTGTTAGCTAAGATATAATTCAACTTTTTTTCATTGAGCTAAAGTTTCACTGCAGAACGACTCGGAGAATTTAAGGGAGAGATGGAGAAAGGTTGTTAAACAGTTTGCGCTTGTGTGGACCAACTTTTGACATTATTTAGAGCTACTTTTTGCCAGTGGGACAAGCCGTTTAGTCTTATTTCAAGAACTGTTGCGGATTTTTTTTCATTCCAAGAGAGACATTTCTTGTATCTTTTTAAAACAAGATCATTTTGTTTGTCCCATTGGCAAATCCTGTTTTAAAGATATATATTGGATTTTCCCAAATTTTAGGAAAGAACCACCCTCTCCACTTTTTGAGCAAAACTCTCTGGTCTTATTTGACGAGCACCAGAAT